GGAGGTTTGAAAAGTATGCTGAGCCCAGTTCTACATCACTACGCACAGGGGCGCCAAGGAGCAGGACGCGTGCTCGACTGCAGCGGGTGGAAGCAGGAGACAAGGTTTTGACAGTAGTAAGACCCACTGCATCCACTAGGGGGCAGTGCATGTCCATGGAAATCCAAGCTGGGCTCCTGCGCACACGCTCTTTACTTCACACACTATTTTCTTCTCCAGTTTCCACAGCCCCAAACCCCACTAAAAAAAAAAACCACACACAACCTCTGCAGAGATCTATTAAAAACGAAATCACATTTTAATGAGAAACCTATTCTTAAGTCCTATGGTTTCTGGAATCAATTTAGATAAACAGTTAATTCTTTTTTTCTTTTTAACACTAGAAGGAGCTCTGGTGGCGTAGTGGTTACAAATTGGGCTGCTAATCTCATGGTCAACAGTTTGAAACTACCAAACATTCTGTGGGAGAAGGATGAGGCTTTCTGTTCCTGTAAAGATTTACAGCCTCGGAAACCCAGTACAGGGTTGCTATGAGTCAGAACCGACTCCACGGCACATAACAACAACAACAACACAATGAAAGCTTTCTGTTTGGGATCCAGCCCACCCTGTTGTTAATTTTTTTAAAGACCATACATTCATCTTTGGCATGAAAACGCCAGCCCCTTTCTGTTTTATTGTATATACTCCTGTGTGTGTGTGTGTGTGTGCGTATACACACACAAATACACATAAAGTTGATTTTTTACTTTCTTCTGAATGAAGTCCTGGTGTGGTGCTGTGGGTTAACGTGCTGGACTGTGAAGTCAGTTTGAACTGCAAGGTCAGCGGCTCAAGCTCCGCAGCCGCAACTTGGAAACCATCTATAGGGTTGCTATGGGTCAGAACTGACTCGAGGGCATTTATCAACAACCACCTTCTGAAGCTGCTCTTCTGAGTTAGTGATGTTCTCCATATTTGTCCTGAATATGTAGGCACAACAAGATCGCCAGAATTAAGAATTAGGCAGTGAGATTAATTTGAATTAAATATTAAATCCTGGTGTGGGGCTGTCAGATAAGCACTGGACGGCTAACTGCAAGGTTGGTGGTTTGAACCCATGAGCCGCTCCTTGGAAACCCTATAGGGCTGCTATGAGTGAAAACCAACTTGAAGGCACTTAACAACAATGAGGTGAGGTGGGGCAGAGCACAATAACTCTGTAGGATAAACACTGAACTGTGACCAACATGGTCGATGGTTCAAGCCTACTAGCCACTGTGATGGAGAAAGATGAGGCTTTCTGTGCAAAGATTTACAGCCTTATAAACTCTATAAAGGGTCACTCATTATGAGTCAGAACCCACTCCGTGGTACTTAACAAGGGGCTGGGGTTTGCCCTTCTTAAAGCAGCCAGATCAAGTTCTCTTTCTTTCTGTTAACCTTATTAACTTCTATTTGGTAGCTGCAATGTTGTTGTTGTTAGGTGCCATCGATT